GTACTTTGTTCCTCCGGACTCAAGGGAGTGCAGCCCAGGGAGAGGTAGTTTCATTCTTTGACTTTACACTGTTTCAGGGCAGTTTCTTCAGTAATGAGAAGGCATCAGATGCCGTGGAAACCTGATCCACTCAACTGGAACACGGAAAGAAACAGGACTGCCGGACAAGGCAAAGCCAGGAAACTCAACTCCTGGGGAGTCCCTGGACTCTGCGGGACAGCAGAGGTGTCCTTGGAGCGGCGTGTCCGTCACTCAGTCCACAGCAAGGGCTGAACCTTGGAGCTGGCAAAAGGCTGCTAATCCACTCCAGCACTGACACATTCTTTCCACTTTCCCCTTCCTGCAGACATTTCCTGGACAATTCCTGACTCCTGGGTAAAGGGACATCTTTTCCACTGGGAGTTAGTTTTCACTAAATGTGGATTTGAAGAGCTAGATATTATTCCCTCGTTCTCACACAACTCACTTGACCGCCTGCTCTGGTTCATACAAGCCTCTGATGAAACACACCTTTTTTAAGCGCATGGGGATACAAGCAAGGCCCTTGCTCGCGCTAGGCCTGCTCTCTACCACCGACCCACAGCCCCAGCCCCCAGTGGCCATTCTTGATTGGCGGTTAGTGCATGTTAGCCAGCACCCCCACTCCAGTGGCCCCAGCGGGGAAGGCCAGTCCCACTGAGGCCGTGGCCCAAATGACCGAAAGGCCGGCCGAGGGGCCCTTCTTGGATGCCTGTCTGCCAAGACCTCTGCCTGGACCACAGGCTGCTGCCGGAAGCTGCATCCCGCAGCCCCAGCTGCTCGGCTGGCTGTGCGAGGGCTGAGAAGGCGCTTGGAGCCGATTCACATGTGCGAGGAACAGTGCTCCCCTGGAGAACAGCTGCTCACGGCCAACAGAGGCCCGCCTTGGTGGCCAGTGCCCCTGCTCCCTGACCTACCACAGAGGGGATGAACAGACGGGGTCAGAGGAGGAATGAGGTGACAGAACATGCAAAGCTTGCTGCTGTTTCCTAAAACTGGCACAGGATCTGAGCTGACAGGTCCTTTCTAGACCAGGGTCCACTGCCTACATTCCAGCTACTTCCATACTTTCTCGGTCCAGCTCTGAGCACTTCAAAGTCCTTTTCTTTTTTTTTTTTTTCCCTTTTGGTTTTTTTTGAGACAGGCCTCACTATGCACTTCAGGCTAGCCTGAATTTTGCCTCTTTGGGACAATGAAAAAAAAATTACTATGAAAACATTCTCATAGAGAGTAACATAATTGACCAAATACACTTTTCTCCGCTAAACAATTACCAAAACATGGCCCATCTTGTTCCATCCCTCTCCTTCCCCCACTTTTCTGGGACAATTTTAAACATCAAAAGGAGAAAAGGCTGTTGGTTATGACAAAGACCCAACGTGCCAGGGATACTGGCTGGCTGGCCTAGCACGGCGGCCTGAGCTTCTCCCAATCCGACTTTCACAGCAAAGGCTGGACACACTGAATACCTTCCCAGGTTGCCTACAGCTGTGACCAGCGAGACACCAAGGGGGGTCTGTTGAGGGTCCTGAGGGATGATACACCCGGGCAGGTGCCTTGTTAATGAGACCAAGTGTGTTCACTCTAGGTGGCTTTGTGTGTGTGTTTGTGTGTGTGTGTGTGTGTGTGTGTGTGTGTGTGTAACCGGGGACTGAACTCAGGCAGGCCCTTGCACTTGCCAGGCAAGAGCTTATTCTACTGAGCTATCTCCCCGGCCCTAGTTGGCTTTTATTTTTAAAAATTAAAAAAAAATTTTTTTTTGAATGTGGTTAGTACAGAGTCTCACTACACTGATCAGACTCATAGTGATCCTCCTGTTTTTAGCCTCCCAAGGGCTGGAATTACAGTAATGTACCACCACACCCAGTCTCAGTTGCAATCTCAGTGCACTCCTGGGGCCAGGGCTGGCACAGCATGCTGGGATGGAACCCTGGTCCCTGCATTTGCCTAAGCAGGCACTTTAGTTCACTGAGCTATGTGGCCAGCCCCCAGATGGCTTTTAAAGATGAGCCATGGTGACACATGCCTGTAATTCTAGCACTTGGAGGCTGAGGCAAGAGGACTGCTGTAAGTTTGAGGCTAACCTGAGCTATGTAGTGAGTTTAAGCCCAGCTTCAATTACATAGTGAGATCTTGTCCTATAAAACATACACACATACACATGCGCGCATGCAGGCACACACACACACACACACACACACACACACACAGTTGACACTCCATGTAGATCAAGAAGGAGAAGCTGGAGTCACAAGAGATGCCACAAATCCGTTTAAGATGTCGGAGTATGGGACATGAGAGTGAAGGGCATCTTTAGCAGGAATGGGGCAAACAGCTATGCATTTCCTGTAACAGCCAGATCCTTTGAAAAGGGGCTTTTCAAGACTCACAGGTTTAAAAAAAAAAAAAAGATTCATGGATAACGGTTCATTTTTGTGGAGTTGGGAGTATACAGCACACCTGCTGGGAAAATGTGCACCTAACAAAGAAGGAAGAAACGAAGCAACCTCTCCACAGAGCTGTCACCATTACTGAACGCAGAGCAGAGAGAAAAGCCTCTGACAGGACCGGATCTTCTCACTGAGCAGGCAGGTCAAGACGCCCAGCTGTGATTCTCCTTGACTACTGCACTTCACTTCCATGTCGTGGAGCCAGGAGGAGCAAACCCACCGGTCTTGCTACTTTTGTCCTAACCTCTCAGGCCTCAAAGATGTGACCACTTGTGAACGGAGGAGCCCGAGCTTACCATGAACTCAGGGCCACTTACTCTACGGGATCCCAGGTCATCTTCTAGCAGGGAGAAGAGCCAGCTCACGTGCTGGTGGTGCAGCAGCTGCTGCAGTGCAGCCTTGCAACAGTGTGCAGAACTCGGGAGCACACTCAGGGAAGCTGCGGGTAAGGGCTGGGGCCAGACAGCACCCAGGCAGGGCCTTCACCTTAAACCTCTGCTGCTGCCTGCCGTGGGCCTTTGGGCCTGCTCTCATCCAAGCACTTTCCTATTATTCCTGTGTCCCCGTGCCGGAACAACTGAGACTTCACGGGCTGGCTACCTGCTCTGAAATGGTCTCTTGCCACTCTGAGTCCTCTATCAGAGTGGGTATGACAGAGGAGGTTCAAATGCAGCTTGTAAGTTTCCTCTATGGGCAGCAGCATCCACAGCGCCCTGACCACGCAGTGCTAGCAGTGATGATCTGGCCGCCAAGAGCACTGACCACACCGGCCTGGGGAGGCCGTCAAGCAGTCAGAGCTTGTTCTGTACTCCCAGCCCAGAAAGCTGACTGGCGGTCAGACTCACATGGCTGGTGGCCGAGTAGCACAGAGATCTCAGTCTGTGGGACCTCACCTTTACCCACCCACCCCAGAGCAGGCTGTGGGGTCTTAGGCTTTATTACTACGAATGGACTCTATTCTCACTTCCTTCTTTAATAAAAATTTGTTTTTACTCTTTCTCTCCTCTCCCTGGAGAAATACAATTCTAAGCAGGAAGTTAGGAATTTAGATTTTTTTTCTTTGCCATTACTAGGGATTGAATAGTGGGCCTTCACACTGAGCTATAGCCTCAGCAATCCTCCTTAAAAAATTTTTTTGAGACATGATCAGGCTGAACTCAAAGTTTTTTTTTTTTTTTTTCGGAACCGGGGATTGAACTCAGGCCCTTGTGCTTGCCAGGCATGCAGTGGAGTAAAGGAAAGGCAAATGAAGTCTTCGTATTCTCCAGCATTGCTGAGGACTGACTTTATTTACTTTTTAAGGACAAACTTTTAAAAATAAAGTGAGTAAAACCACGTGAGATTAAGATACACAAACAAAACTTCATATAGAAAAAAGACTTCACCGGGCAATAGCAGAGGAGGACATTGGAAGAGTTTCACAGATGCACAGAAAGCTCACATTGTCAACAGGATTGAGCTGTTACTGAGCTCAATCAAGGTTTCATTTTGCTCAGTCTGAGATCTCGCTCGATTTCAAACTGCCTGTGGTCCACACGCTCTAGAAAAGCTTTCCGTTCAATGTACCTAGAAGATAAAAAATAAAGCATGTATCAGTAGAATCCAGTACAGCAAAAGGCCTTCCTTGCATGGTTCTAGCCCCTGGAGTAAAACTGGCTGCAGCAAATGCAAGCAGATGAGCCCAGCTGGTGGCCAGAGTGACCACCCTGGCCAGTGTGACTAACAGTCACACTCATCTGTCTGGTCAGTACAGAGTCCCAAGGGTCATGCTGTTTCAGATGTGAATGAAAGTAAATGGGAGGAACATGGCGATAGCTTATTGAGGAAAGTGCATTAGGGTCCTGGTGGCAGGAAAATAGTGTAATTTACTAGTAAGACTATAAAGGAAGAAGATATGATATCAGCTGAAGAGTCAACCCTAGCTTGGCTATAACTCTGGAGGGCAATGCTGGGAGACTGAGCTCTCTGAGCCTCGCTTTTCCCCACAGCAACCCAAGGCCACATCCCACCCTTGGTCATGTGTTGTGTGAGGGTGAGAGAAAACTACACGTCCTGTGCACGCTGTACAATGGCAGAGGTGCTCCTGAAAATAGAAGAAACAGGACAGAAGTGACCCCAAGGGGCGTTGAGGGTGCAGCGAGCAGCTTAGAGGCCTTTAGCGCCTGCCTCCCTTGCTTGCTTTCCTTGGTGAGGGCATGGGCACTCCTGCTAGGATAACCAGAGAGGCCCAGCCCTAAATTCCTCAAAGAAGCAGTATCAGATGCCATGTGCAGGGTCCCCTCAGAAGGTGCTGTTCTGCGAATTTGGGGCCAGAACCAGCAAATGAAGCTGTCTTAGGTATTCACTTATTGATGAGAAAAAATATCTAACAGCCAAAGTTAAGGGAGAAGTATGCTTTTTTTTTTTTTTCTGGCAGGACCGGGGATTGAACTCAGACCCTTGCACTTGCCAGGGAAGTACTTATTCTACTGAGCCATCTCCCCGGCCCCTTAAGGAAGAAAAGGTTTCTTTTTTTTTTAAATT